GCACATGGGAGCCAGGGCTAGGAGAAGCGCTCGCTCTCTCCTGCACGGAAGTCTTGAGCTAGGCTTTAATGGGTAAATAAGATTTGAACTCTTAACAAATGGAGCAGAAAAACATGTAGGGGGTGGTAAAATTTGGATGACACAAATTTTTATAGAAGAGAGGCATGCGGCAAAAGAGATGAAGGTATAAATGTGCAGAAAGTAATTTTTCCATACGATGAACTAATGTAAATCATTTGAATTGTTGCTCTGTTAATGCTTTGAAAAGCAAATATGGCTGTTCCCATCTACATATAGATCTCAGGAGTTTTATTGCAAAATCATATGTTTGTGAAAAGGAAATCTGCCTGTTCCCATCTACATATCTTTTTCTTTTTTTTCTTCTTTAAATTTTTTTTTGTTACTAACCATACATTACATCATTAGTTTGTGATGCCCATCTACATATCTTGTGTATCATGTAGCATACGTGGCTTTAATTGCTCAAGTATTTGGTGTGTTATCATTGCCTAAAGATGCCAAAATGGAAAGTTGTTATTAGGGCAAAAATAGCAACTATAAAAATCTGTTTTTTCTGAGTATCTTGAACAGAGAAGTAACTTCCCTATAGAGGAGGAGACAGGGCCAAATAACCTCTCACTTGATGCTCCGCCTCCAGTAGAACAGCTGGGCTGATGCCTGGGCTGATAACACCGATTCTTCATTCCAGAATGAGTGAGCAGATGTTCCAGCTTCGACTAAAGGATGCTTCAGCTTTGCACAGCTGTAAGATAGACGAACGATTGAGTTAAGAGTTAATTATAAGTAGAAGCTTCTCTTTTTCTTTTCCCCGTGCCAGATGTCCAGGAACAGCCCCTATGGCTGGCGCTTGGTGAGCGCTGGTGGGGATAGGAGGATGCCTTCAAGGAATCTTGAAGTGGAATGGGAAAAACCAGAGGGATCGATATTAATACTAGAGGGTAAAAGGTCATTACAGATTGGGGTGCACAGGAGAAGGTACACCTGGGAGGGGGCACATCTAGGCCAAATAGGTCAAAGTCTGTCAGTAAGACACTGATCTAGTGTGTTCTGGGACCCATAGTCCTCTCGTGTGATCAGACTGAGGTTTCAAAGGAAAGGTAGACGGAGACTGTGTGATGGGAGCCAGTGGTCAGCTATTTTGGATTATTGGCAAGGCAGGGGTTCAAGCAGATACTGGAGTGTGACTGGGGTTCAGGCTAGGGAGGATCCTGGCGAGGAGGGAGTATTAGTTTGGATTGGATATGTGATTCCATTTATCATTGAAAGGATAAGGGAGGATCTTCAAGCTTAAATGGGATTTCTTGAATTAAGTTAGATCTACTTTTAAGACATTTCAGTTTATAAGAAATCACATGTTAAACTTGAGGAACGTCAGAACTTTCTTAGTAATGAAGTAATTTGACTTCTGTGTAATTGGATAAAGATTTCCAAACTTGAGCTTTTCTCTGTTCATCACCATCTGCGGGACAAAGCTGAAAGGCCGTTTCCGTGGAAGCATTCAGCCAAACAGTCAACATCACCTGAAGTAGGTGTTCAAAGGGTTCAGAAACCCACGTCATTTTCACCAATGCAGATACATCTTAAATGTTGGTTCTAACACCATTAATAGCTTTTTCTCATTCCTTCGCAGGAGGCAAGCGAGGCCTATCTGGTGGGCCTCTTTGAAGACACCAACCTGTGTGCTATCCATGCCAAACGTGTCACAATTATGCCAAAAGACATCCAGCTAGCGCGCCGCATACGTGGAGAACGTGCTTAAGAATCCACTATGATGGAAA